AGGAGGGCCCGAAGACCTCTTCAGTACGGCCAGAACGGGCCAAAGAGGGCACAAGGTGGTGCCGTGCCCTTGCGAGACGGCAAGAACTTCTACGTGGGGGTAGACGCGAAGAGCCATACCCCGCAACTGGCTAGCAAGACAACTGCTGCGAGCCTGCATAAGAGGATGGCGAAGCAGGATGTGACATAGCATGTGAACACACACGACATAAAATAAGTATGTGGGGTTTCTCGGTAGCGTAATTTGCCAGCTGGACGCCACGAGCATATCGTAACACTCCCCGATCACAGCGCCACAACAAAAAAACAATAGTTAGACCACTCGAAGACGCTCGAAACACCGACATTCTAGAGTTATCGCCCGTCGCGAAGCAAGGAAGTCCTGAAGCTTTCCGTCGCGATGCAATAATGTCTCAAACCTTCTCCGCCACGAAACCAGAGCGTCCTAAACCCACCCAGCCGCGAAGCAAGATCATCCTGAAGCCTCGCCGCCCCGAAGCAAGAGCGCCCTGAATGACCCCCCCTCACCCACCGCCAGCATTATTCAAGCAATCATGCGATGGGGAGGGAGTTGGGCGTTGCGGAGGACAGGGAAACGAATCCCGAGAGCGAACCACACGAGTATACCTTGCGGGGGGGCAGAATTAGCTATCTTGCTATTAAGCGACTAGCAGCAACAGGGCAGGAAGAGCGATGATGGTGAGAAACGGCAGCCTGCTTACCGACCAATGCTTACACAGCAGCTCACCACGCGTGATTCCAAAGGGGCTAATTTTCTCATGCCTCTAAAGGAACCGACCTGCACGTGCCTTCGCTTGGGCAGAAGGGGTGGGGCAGTCATCGCACGCGGGAGGGTTTTGGGGCTCGGAGGCGGCCGACATCACAAATGGCCTTTCCTGGGCCCTCTTCGGCTTCCTTGGGCCCTCTGGCAGACCAAGCATCAAACATCAAACGACGGCGATGGCAGCGGCGATGGTGATACCGAGGCGACCATGATGGGGCAAGCACAACATGGACGCGGAACACATAACAGCTGGGGAGGGCGATGAAGACGACGATCACGGCCCCGACCACGACGGCGAAGATGACAACGATGCTGGCTGCGAAGATCTAGCCGCGGCGCCGCCGACGCTGCTAAACGTCACCTCGTGCTGCTGTGAGCAAAGCACGTGTGTTTGCCGCTGTGCACAATGCACATTGGTCAGCACACGCAGCAGAATGAATTCACAGTTGGAGGGGCCCGCGAGGCGAGGTCGGGCCAGCAAGAAGTGCTGGCCCGACCTCGCCCAGGAGGAGCTCAGCAGAGGAAGAGCCAATAAGATGGTCGGCGTCAGCGCGGCAGGACTCGGCGCAGTAGAAGCCAGTCTCTGCTCGGACTCGCGATTGTAGAGTGCAAGCAAGCACGGGCGGGAGAAGTAGCATCAAGGGCAATCCCCATATAATATGCTGGCTAATATTGTAGGCACGACGGAACACCACTATGATAAGCACCCCTACAAACGAACAAGGTCGGAGTGACTAGCAAACGCAGACGATTCGCTGGTAAACGCCAGATATGGCGGCCGGGGTGGATTTCCACGATTGAAGCCGAAGCGGCTGAACCAAAGTGGCTACGTACGGAGGACGAGGAGGAGGAGGAGGAGGAGGAGGAGGAGGAGGAGGAGGAGAAGGTCAAGAGCCCGTTTTTTTATTGTTCCCGATAAAGACCGTGACCGGGCCACCTCCCCTCTGGCCACGTCACGATTCGCGCTGTCGCCATATTGGAATTAGACATCCCTCAACATGTCCAAACGGCGCCGGCGCGAATCGTAACGTGACTGGCCCCCGCTCCCCTCCCCCCGTCCCCCCCCCTCCGCGGTCACGCCCGTTACCGCCAGGGAAACGTCAGTAGGCACACCCCTAAAATCGGGCGGGTGCTAGGGGTGGGGGCCTAAATGGGGGGCGAGAACAGGAGGCCCAAAGAGGCCCTTCGGGGCTCAATTTGGGCTAGCACAGCGAAAACGTATCTCCAGGATGGGTGGTAAGGGCGCAAGACCCTTGGAGGCCGAAATCGGGATTTTGGGCGACGGGCGACCAGTGAAAACGACAAAGCACGGACCGCAGTGGCAAGGACGCATGGGTACCTTAGAAAAGGCCGCGCGTCCTTACTATGCGCGTTGACTGTAGAGGCCCAAGAGGAGGTCTCGAGGGCCCCATTTGGGGCCCCTTTCTTCACCCCCCTTCAAGCCACCCCCCCTCCCAGACCTCCGACGTAATGATTTGTTCGTTACGTCGACCCCCAAAGCTCCCGACCCTTTCGCCATGACCGGGGTCTGGGCCCAACACCCACACGGCACAAAAGTCCCGACCCGTGCTCCTGGACCGGTGTTTCGTCCTGGGGGTCCTTTGTGGACGGCCCCGGTGCCCGGCAGGGGCCTCTCTGGAGACCAGGCGCGGCCAAAGACCTCCCGCCCTGGTCTTTTCCACGACGCGCACATGTCTGGGATTAGGTTGCTCCCATCCCAGATCCCCTCGAGTAATGAAAAAAAACAGGACGGGAGGTTTTTCGTAATTTTCGGCCTCTGGGGCCCCTCA